TGTTTGCATTTCTAAGCTAAGATCCTGGGTGGGGTGAGGCTGCTTATGGACCTCTGCATGTCCTTAAAAATGCCAGGGCGTGGCTCATTATCACAGGCAGCTGGGAAGCTGGCCTGGATGCTTGTGAGTAGTCAGGGAAACAAGGGAAATGGGGTGAAAAGTGTTCTGCCTGGCTGCAGCTTACCTTTCCAAAGCAACTTCAGCAACTCCAACTTCACTTCCTCATATACAAGTCAGCCACAGTATGGACAAAACATGGTGAAACAGACTGGCTCCTAGTTGGCAAAGGAGTGGGACAAGGCTCCATACTCTCCCCTTATTCAACCTATATGCTGAATATATATATATTAAGGGAAGCAGGATTGGAAGACGGTGAGCATGGTTTTAAAATTGGAAGAAGAAACATCAATAACCTGTACTATGCTGATGACAATACCTTGATAACCAAGAAAACAAACGTATCCTACTTCAGACACATTATGTGAAGATACAGCTCTCTGGAAAAGGCAGCAAAGCTGGGAAAGGTGGAAAGAGGATGACCAGCAGCAAGGTGGATAGACTCTGTTACAGTGGCAATGAGTGCACTGTTGGGAGACTTGAAAGAACAGGATAGGGATAGATCGCCGGGGAGAAAACCTATTTATTTATTTATTTATATTCTAAATTTGTCACTGCCCATCTCACTGCGGAGTGACTCTGAGTGGTGTACAGTAAGAACAGAATAAACATTAATTAAAATAGATTAATATTAATTTATTGATTAAAATATGCTAAAAAACAAACTTCCTATTTGATACTTCCAAGAGGCTGATGTTAATTGTTAATAAACTCAGGGAGCATCGTCAAGGCACCAGCCATCCCCAGGGTCGATTGTATCTTTCTTCACCCCACACAAGTTGACAGAACCAAGTCTTCAATTCCCTCTGAAAAATTGGGAGGGTAGGGGCCTGCCTCACCTCTGGGGGAAGAGTATTCCATAGGGGGGGGCAACGGCACAGAAGGCTCTCCTCCTAGGACCCGCCAGTCAACATTCTCTCACCAATAGGATACACAACATGCCTACTCTGCCAGACCGGGGACCGGGTGGGACGGGTCAATGTAATGGGGGTGAGACAATCCCTCAGGTAACCTGGACCCATGCCATGTAGGGCTTTAAAGGTGATAACCAATACTTTGAATTGGACCCGGAAACAAACTAGAACCCAACACAGCTCCCACAGCAAAAGTGTTACATGTGCCATCCTTGGGGCACCCAAGATTGCCCATGCGGCTGCATTTTGAACCAGCTGTAGCTTCCGGATATTCTTCAAGGGTAGCCCCATGTAGAGTGCATTGCAATAGTCTAAACGAGAGGTGACCGGGGCATGAGTGACAGACTGGAAGGACTCCTGATCCACAAAGGAGCATAACTGGCTCACAACATGTATCTTCTTAGATACATTCCATCACATTGGGGGATCTCTAGCAATTATTCCTGGTGAGCATCAGCATAGAAAGAACACTACAATACAACATGATCCAACATTTCAACTACTCCTGCATGTCATGGGCAGAGTCTCAGCAGGAATGGGATGTTTCAATCTCTCCCCTCAGTAACAGTTCTTGGGAGAGCATTAAATCTGGCCAAGCCATTCTGAATTTGGGGACTGTTCTGCAGCTGAAGTACCTAGCAGGGTGGAATAAATAAGCAGCTCAAAAATCTTTGCAGCAAAACCTGGCAGGTCCATTTGTATCTCCACGTCAGCAGCACACTGCTTGAGATTGGCCCACAGATGTTCAGGGCCCACCAGGGAGATTGTGGCCCATGAAAAGCCAAAAGATTTTAATTTCTCGTGAAGCACCTGGCTCTGGGAAGACTTAAAGGTGTCAACCAAGATTAGAGAACCCAAACCACCTGGGGAAAAAAGTAGCTTAAGCCAGTAAGGAAAGACCTAATTAGAGGCAGATGTTTCAATTGTAAGTAAACCGACTTCATGGTACAGCATCACATTAGGATATGCAGCAAGAAGCTTCAAAGATGGATTTTGTACATTTCAAGGGAAAGGAATGATCTGTAAGGGCCCAACTGAACTTCCAAAGCAT